TCAGTAATTCAAGAGAAGCCTGGCTATCTGATACAAAACTGATGTTTTGTTTACTAGAGGTCTATTCGTCAACTCTCTAGCACATGATTCAATTACGAAGAACTCCGCCTGAAAGATTGTAACATACTTACCGAGATTGACAGAGATTTTCGTCTTCGGTTTTCTGCTGAACACATCGGCTTCAACACCTAGAGGGGTTTTCGAACCATCTGTGTACATTACGTATTCGGTGTCTGGGAATTGGACTGATCCACTTACCTACTTGCCTCTCTTCGGGAAGAGGACTTTGAAAGACTTTTTCACGTGTGTCTTAGTAGCTAACATGTCGGGAACCATTCCTAGAGTTTGGTGAATTTTTATTTCACACAGTATCATGGAGTGGTCCAGCAGTCGCCTCCCTCTAATTCGCTTTTCCAGTGACAGGAATCTGTAGGAAACCATCCTGGCTTTACTCTCCAATACAATCTGGAGGGGAGTGAGGTTCAGGAGGTTTTCCATCGCTGGCCAGCAGGGAGATTTTATTTCACGAATCGAGTCGAATCGTCCCGATATTTGGTATTCTGTTTCTCGAATGAATCGTGTAAACTCGACTCGATTCCTCCATAGCTCAAGAGAAGTCGAGTCGATGCGTTTTGTCAATCTATCCTTATCTATCATCGAATGTTTCTTTTCATCTTCATCCCAATTTGAGGTTAGATCATCTTGTTTATGTGAAAGCACAGCTTTGAAAGTGTGTAATCAACTTATTACTTCATGAATATAATAAATAATTAATTTCCGATGTCGTTCAATTTCAGAGATGTTCACTGGGAAATGTTAATAACATTTTTAGGACATCACAGAACATGCCACGGTCACAGGATAATTTTCAGTCTGATGATCGTGAAACCAATGATAAAATGTTAATCATGCTAAGCCCAGTAAATTCATTGGGGTTTGACGAGTGAACTCCTGAGAAATGGTGTAAGGTAGCATCTTTGCTATGATATAGTTGCATAAAACGTCAGTGACCTATTCCCTCCATACTTTGACCTATCCTTATCCACTAATAAGTGGGGTCTCAATGATTGTATCAGAAGACGAACCAACCTTTTGTTCAATCTAAACAACACAATAAATCATTTTTCAGGTAATGAAAGAGGATTAGGTGGGTACCTACTTCTGTTTCATAGTTCTTGTCGTCCGACGAATTTGATCCAAATTTCTTTGCCATCTCGACTCGAACAATTAGAATAATTCTTTTTTTTTGTGTTAGGATTACAAAAATTGGAATTCCTAAAAACAATATAACCACTATAACCTAAAATTTCTGATGGCTTTGGGGCTATGGCCTCGGTGCTCGTTTCACTGAATCAAAATCTCATCCCATTTCGCCAAAAAACCGACAATTTCCGAAGTCGAATTCGATCGCGACTTCATCGAGAAATAGAATAGGAAGTGAATTCGACTTCGAGTTCATCATCGTATCGTACGACAATCGACGATCGTGAAACAGAATCCTCCTGCAGGTATGCCAGCAGGTATGAAGCTTTGCCCTGGCTGTCCCTTGCAGACTTTCAGTCCACCAGACTACCGAGCCATACGTGACCATTGGTTTTATCATTGGTTGGTCAATCCAGTAAATCTGTTTGGGGTTCATTCCTCATGATTTGCCGCATACCCTTCTGAGGCTCCAGAGGGAAAATCTGGCTTTGTTAATAATTTTCGCCATGTGGGCGTTCCAGGTGAGTCTTTTATCTAGGGTGGCTACATATTTCACCTCCGCCTCAAACGGAATGCTCTCTCCATATAGGACATGTTGACGAAGCTTATCTAGCTTTTGCCTTTTCGTAAAAGGGATGATATCAGTTTTCGAGGGTTCACAGACATCTGCTCTCTATAGCACCATCTGTACACAGTATTAAGGAATAAGGACTTCTTGTAGTCCGTTTGAGATCGTCGCTTCAAATTTCCCTATTAAGGGCGCCGTACATTATGCTTTTTCTCGGCAAGTTTGAGGCATTGCAATTTTCTCGCAATTTTCTCAATTTATTGCGAGTCGTCGTACATTGAGATATTTCTGTCATATTTTCTTGTTCATATTCACTATTTTCAAGTTTTTTGAGCCTTCATTGTACTTTTTGAAGTTATTTGGTGTTCCAGGCCACGTTATGGAGAAAATTTGTATTTTATCAAGATGCTACGATGAATATATATAAAATTTTACCAAACTTGCCTTGAAATTGCAGGAAAAATAGGACTGGTTTTATTACAAAACTTGCATGAAACTTGCCGTGAAATAGCATAGACGCATTCGCATTGTTCGATTCAAAATTGCATTGCATCGAACTTGCTGGTAAACAGCATAATGTACGGCGCCCTTTATTACATATACGATACGATATTAGAGTAAGACTTAAGTACGCTTGAGCTCAATTTTCAATGGCAAACTCATTGGTGAAAACCGCATATCGATATCTGAAGTGCGTCTTGTCTGTTTAAGTTCCATTGTTTTCCAGTGATGCCATACCAAGTGGCCAAAAAGGTGTAAGAGCGCCCGTATTCCCCAGAACTTTTTTCATCCTTCTGCAAATCAACTTTCTCAAATCTTCAAGTCAATATCTCGAAATCGTTTTGGAAATTCTGACCTTCCTCATACAGGATGTGAAATATCGATATTTTTCGATATTCTGTATTTTTATCCATTTCTGTGGATTTAAAAAAGTTCAGGCGATATTTAAACCTGGTGAAGTTATCCACCTGGCTTAAAGACTAGCAGAACTGTCGACTACAACAAAATGAGCGTTTTTCGAATAATATATGGGAATTTTTGAAATCGTCTGTTCAGATTGGTGCTGCAACAATAATGTGCTTGTGAAATTATGAATCCACTACACATTATTATACCACTAACCAAACCGATTTTTTACACCTCGACAAATGTTTCGCTATAACTATGTTAGCATCTTAGGGAGAAGATTAAAACTAAATGCTCTATCCTAGTGGGCTAAGAATATGTCCACCCAAGCGTGAATACACAATAACCGCCAAGTTAATGTTATTCATGGTTTAGTTCACATGTTATACATGTTACTAAACTATACAGATGGCTGGATGGGATAGGTCTATTATTCCTAGTCATTACTCTATTACTATTCTTAAATATCTCTAAGCTATCATATGCATCTAATTTTCTAACATTATTAATTTGCTTAACTAATTTGAGGTCATTGATATGTGTGTTATGATTGTGATTGAACATGTGTTCGGCTACACACGATTCATCTAACCTACCATATTTCAAATGTGGTAAGTGTTCTTTGAATCTTTTTTTCATGGGACACCTGGTTTGGCCTATATATCTTTTATTACAATCATTACAACTAATTTCACATATTCCTGAGTTTCCAAGTGTGTCCACATTATCTTTTGATTTGCCTAATGAATTGCCTAACTTTGACCCAGACTGATAAACGCTTTCAAAACCTAAGTCTCTGCAAACCTTATCAAGTCCTTTTGTGTACTTGGGATTGAAAGGAATTGGGACTTTTCTCTGATTGTTTTGATCCGCTTGAAGATTCGTAAAATTCCTGAGTGATAACTTGAATTCATGTCTACGTATTAAAGATCACAGACCCGGTAAGAGTTATGAGACCAATTGTATCCGCAATTGGGTCTCCTACTTACAATATTTCAAAGTGGTTGGTTGAAGTTACCAAAACTTTAAATAGTCGCTTGAATTCATCGAGAAGGTCAAAGGTTTGAATCTGACCGAAGGCAAAATATTAATATCATTTGATGTTTCATAACTTTTTCCAAGTGTACCCATACCACCAACTTTGGAATATTTAAGGGAATTACTCGAATATAACAACCTCAATTTGATCCGGATATTATCAAAGAATTGGCCAATCTCACAAACCTCTGCATGAGCCAAAACATGTTTCAATACAGACAAGAATTTTTTGAGCAACATGAAGGTACAGCCATGGGTAATTGTTTGTCACCTTTCGGTTTGAAACGAATGAAGAAGAAAAATTCGAGTATTTCCCTAGGATTTGGATTAGATATGTCGACGATATTTTCGCCATTTTTGATATCATAGAAAATCACAGATATAGATAACTTCATGTCACAATTGAACAATTGCTTCCCCTCTATTAAATTTACTTTCGAATGCGAAAACAACGGTCGATTACCATTCTTAGATGTTCTTGTGACAAAATGGCGAAAATAATTTAGAATTTGATGTTTTTAGATAAGAAACTAACACACTTAGATACATAAGTATAATGACTCCAATAACTGTTTTCAACACAAAATGGCGAGTTTAAATTTCCTAGTACATAGACTAGTTTAATTTCCTCTGAGTAAACGAAGATTCGATGTTGAAAGGATTGGTGTTTATAAAGTGGCTGGCGTCAATGGTTATGATATCAAAATAGTAGATAAATTAATACGTACACATGAATTTAGGTTATCACTCTGGAAATCTACGACTTTTCAAGCGGATAAAAACAATCAGAGAAAAATCCCGATTCCTTGCAATCTCAAGAACACAAGCAGAGGACTTGATAAGGTTTTCAGAGACTTAGGTTTTGAAAGCGTTTATCAGTCTGGGCCAAAGTTAGGCAATATATCAGGTAATCTAACAGATAAGGTGGACACACTTGAAAAGTCAGGAGTATATGAAGTCTGCAAAATATCAAAATCCTGACACAACTGATAACTGATGAGATATAGAAGACGCGAGGTGAGATGGAGGACCCTGTATTATTGAACTAGATCCAAGGTGTTTCATAATATGTGGAATACTATTAAAAAGGTGATAGTACGTATCAAAAAAATGTAAAAGTGTCCATAGACATAGCGCGTAGAACGCTTTGCTTGTGGGATACAGGGTGTTAAAGTAGAGAATAAAAAATAATTTTCATCGAATTGCTAGATAACAGCTCAATAAAAATTAGTAATAAAAGTGTGTACGAAATGATACCATAATTCATATACAATAATATTCTTACCGAAATACCAGTGTTGGCTTTTATTTTTTCAATTGGAACCCCTTGTAATAGTTTCAAAAACTCGGCACTCGACATGTTTTTGTCAAATTCCTTGAAGATTTTTGCACCTAACTGATAAGCAGCATATTTCGGATACTTTTGTAGAGCCCAACATGTCAAGGGTGAACTACTATGCATGATAGCTGCCCTAAATAATCCTGCAATGAAAAAATCAAAATATCAATATATTGTTATATACTGTCTGAAGGTCAATAATTTGTCTAGATTTCTAGAGATTTACTTTCATCGTTTCTGTTAAATGAAGATATGTGTATTGTTTCAGATGATTTGCCCCAAAATTTCACTGCGTTTAAAAATGTTATTATCAGAGAGCTCAAAAGAAAAATCTATTCGATTGTCAGTGAAACATTGTTCTGAAAAAAGATCAGACTTTCTATACAGGGTGATTCAAAATTACTTGGACAAATTTCAGGAGGTGATTTCTCACAATATTCTAATATGAATTGTCTCAATATTTAGATGTCCAAAAACGCTTCGTTTTCATCAAGATACAGGGTGTTAAAGTTTTAATTTTTATGTTCGTTCTACAGGAACTTCAACAAAGCGTTCAACTGTCTAATTACCAAAACTACTTACTCAAACATCAAATTCATTTTCTAAGCATTCTTGTGTGAAATACAAAATATTTCAACAAGCATCGATAATCAAATAATCGACTGAAAGTTTCGTTTAATTAATGTCATTATCTCGGGAGTCATTTGAAAAAAAAAACTTCAACACCCTGTATCTTGGACGGGCATATACTTATTTGGACAATCCATATTAAAATATTGTGAGGAATCACCTCCTGAAGTTTGTCAAAGTACTTTTGAATCACCCTGTATACCTATATTTCTCTTCTCCAAACTCTTTCCAAAACGAAGTATCACCGACAATCGAATAATTTTTTTTCTCTACTCTGATAGGAACATTTTTAAACGCAGTGACATTTTGGGTCATATTATCTGATGTATCCTCACTACTATAGTATATTGCAATAATAATACATCGACCTAATAATGAGGTTCTGTCTGCCTTTTTAACCAAAATCGAGATGATGGTATTTTAGGATTTTATCTTATGAATTCTTCATTTTGAGAGGTCAACTATAGCAATCTGTTGGAATTTAAATGAGTTAGTCATAATGCAGAGTTCTACCTACAGAATGTTTCTCTCTTAATTTGGTGTAACAACATCCTAACAACATAATTTGGTTTATTATGGTCCTATCTACACCACATAGAACTTTGTTTCATATACAGTATACACCCTTGATATCCTAGTTCATCAACATTAAACATTCACAGTGATAGTGAGAAGTAAATGAATTGAAGCTGATTTTTTTTTTCACCTTCATTTTTCATCAAGAACTTGAAAGCAGTGAATAAAAGAAGCCATACTACATCTTAGTTGCTGAAAGTTACCGATTTCAAAGATTTCGAAAGTTGTATCAAGAAACTCCAATACAAAAATATTCGTTCCTTCCAAGTTGCTGCATTGATAGAAGGTGAACGCATTTAAAAATGAATGCTACATGAACGAGACTGACTGAAACTATTTCGCTGCATTCCTGAAAGATCTGAGTTGAATCAGATTTCGATAATACAAAATATACTTTTGAAAAAATCTACGTGCCGCAATTTTTTCAACATATTACTATTATTACTACCCATACCCATATGCCTATACATATATTCATTGCTTCAGAAGTGAATCTGATGGCACTTAGAACATTTCAAATCAGTTTTCTCGTAATATTTTATGAAACGAAGATGTATTTTATTGTACATTTGTCAGTTAGAACCTTAATTGTTCAATTGCTACAATAGAAGATCGTTCTGGAACAAAGTTCTATCTTCATTTTAGATGTTCGAATCAACATTTATTTGAAATGGAAGAAGGAAAAAAATCAACTGATGAAAACTTCAACCCATTTAAATAGACTCAATCAGAATAAAAACTCTGATCGATTGAAATGGAACGAAATAGATGGAGTCAAAAGTTCACATCACGATTCTAAGAAATTATACTCTGTCCAAATAGTACCCTATTATTCTAGTGCGACGACTAATATTTTCATTTTATACAAACGAGGAGAGAAAATCACGAAAAATCTAAAAAAAATAATCTTTCGTTTCCTTATAATAACAATCGACTCGAGTTATACAGGGTCATATCGAAATGAAAACATACCGGGTGTCAACGAATCTATTACACAAGCTATAACTTCTAGAATATTGGGTATATCAAAATTAAATTTGAATACGGCATATGATAAGTGAAAAGGAGAATTTTCGCATATTTTTCACCTCCTGGTCACTTGACTGAATAATATCAAATTTTTGTTCTTATTTTAAATCCAATTGCAAATAAATTATTATCGCAAGATTCGTCAAAAGTGAAAGGATGGTTGCCATCTGGAGAATTGATAGTTATACAAGAAAATGTGATATTGTCAACTTGTCGTTTTTCAATCATCATACTAGTCAATACAAGTTTACGTCCGATCATGGTGACCTAGATGCAATATTGAAAGTGACTCTAAAAAATTAAGTAGGCGTAAAAACTGATGAAAATGTCATATTGTGATCCAGAACTGTCTCCAGGAATTCAAAAATGTTAGAATTTATAGGGTGTTCCATTTAAAAATTCAAAACCGGAGCCGTTTCCGGTGAAACCAGAAGTGACCAGCAAGTAGAAAATAGGCGAAAACCTTCCTTTTCACATACCATATCCCTCTTTTCGGATTTCATTTTAATGCGAATATTCTAGAAGTTGTGGCTTGCTCTAATAGCACAATTATGTCCCATGGACACACTTAGGACGTCCCGTCGGGACGTACAAATGTCCCACTTGAGAACCCAATATTGACGTCCTTGGGGTATGTCTCTGGGTCAACTATCTCATACTCTGATCCTACAGTATTTCTCAGAGAGCACTATGGAGAACATATGTAGGACAACCTATCAGAAACACTGAGGGTAAATGATTGGATGTCCATAGAATGTCCCAAGGACGTACGAATTATTCTTGAATTTGAATTTATTTGGGTCTCTCTAGGACCAGATCTTGCATAACTAATCAGGACATCCAGTTGAGTTGATGGTCCGTAGAAGGTCTCTTATAGATCCTGAAGAGTTTCTCAAGGATGTCCAATGGATTTACATGAAGTACATTGACGGGAAGTATTAAAAGCCTACGAGCAGTCGATTGTCGGCGAGGTGTAAGATAACGACCTCGCAGGGACAACATATAAAACGTATCGACTCTGGGACGTCCGTTATACCTTATTTCTAGGACATTGGAAGAAAAATTGATCATTCGCTTACGTGAAGGACATTTATACAGGATGTCTATCTGAAGTCCTGTATTCCACCGATGGATGTCCCTTAGGACACATTGATAGTCGTATACAGGGCATTCTGAGGACGTCCTTGGGACGTTCATCAGACGTTGTACTATGACATCTCATGAAATTATATTTCCTGAAGAATATTCTTGTACTCTTGCTCGAACATTGCAGGAGATGAACGGGTTGGGACGTCCCAAGGACAATTATTTTAGCTCCGGGACATTTGGTCTTGAATTGTACCAAATAGGGACGTTCCAAGCTATTAGGGTTTAACATACCAAGTATCTTTATGTCTAACATGAAGCTTCCCTTGCTTGCACTCATTAATATACTAATTGATCAAATAACTATTTTCAAGTCGCATCCTGTATAGTACAAATCTGTACCTTTTGATTTTTTGCTCATGAGATGATATCCTACTGAAGCAGCACCAGCGCTCTGTCCCATTATTGTTACTTTGGCAGGATCTCCTCCGAAAGTTCCAATGTTGTTTTTGACCCACTGAAGGGCCAGGTGTTGATCTTTCAAGCCTAGATTTCCTGGGATGACATTGTCCCCAGTGGCGAGAAATCCTGGAATGAAATTTAAAATAGAAGAAAGTTCCCATGAAACAAGTTCACAGGGTGTGGTCCCCTTTCTACGATATATAGAGTGAATCAGCGAAGCATTTTTTATACAGTGTGACCCACTTCTAATGGAAACATCTCTGTAAGGTAAGTTGGGTAAGGATCCTGAAATTTGCTGGAGCGAGAGATATACCGAAAATTCATTTTATTACCAAGTAGGGTCATCTTCAGAGATAAACACTGCTCGCCAACAGCCATGGAACCACCCCAATTTTCGGAAAATGATATTAGGTGTCAAAATAGGTTGAAAATCACTTCAGATTCGGAATCAGGACGCCCAATTCATTAACTATTCATATTTTTCCAGGAAAATTTTCAGTGCTGAAAAATTAACCTTTGTCGCACTTTTTACGGAAGCACCCTCGTTGGTTATTTGGGTTGAAACGCATACCTGATTTGTTTCCGATTTCAGCAGATTTGGCATTTCATACCCATGCTGGAGATATAAATACACCTTATTATAGTTTAGTATTGGATTTTTTTTTTTTATCGATTGGAGCGCACGAAAGGGAATCCCTATAATGTTCAAAGAACATCGTGCGTTCCTAGGAAGGATAGGAACAGGAGGTAGGTATTGGGATTTTTTTTGAACTTCTGGAGATTATATGTTGTTGGGAATACTTCCTCAGGCAATGAATTCCAGAGCCTAGCCGTTCTATGGATGAAGGAGTTTTGATAAAGTGCTGTTCGGCATCTTTCGAGGTTGACAACGAAAGAATGTGCTGACTGGGCTTGTCTAGTTCGTCTGACTGGTCTTGCTAGTGAAGGGATGATAGCAGAGATTTCCGAAGAACATTTTCATTTCAGAGATACAGGAGTGTTTCCATTAGAAGTGGGTCACACTGTATATTTGAAATCTACAGGGTGGTACGTTTTTGGAGGTTAGTATGTTCTAACCTAAAGGTCCAAGACGATAGTTGAGGGTGACAACGACGACATTCTGGTCGATGAAATAGTCCGGGCCGAAGGAATCGAAAGCTCCACTCCAGCGTCTGAATGCTCCACCGTGTATCCAGACCAAGGTCGGTAATGAATCAGGGGGCTGTACTCCATTGGGTCTCTGAAAATGGACCAAGTTATTCACAAGGTGATTCACGTATGTTTTTGAAACGGTCCCGAATTCTTTTGTTGTTTATTCATCAAAATAATTGGCGGAAAAATTACTGTTTTGTGAAATATTTTGTGTTGTGATCGGCGAAATAACAATGCCTTTCAAGTGTTGTGTTCCCTTTTGTCGGGGGAATTATGTGGGTGGTTCAAAAGTTCATGCTTTTAGTTTCCCGTTGGACGAGGAGCTATCGAGAATGTGGGTATATGCAATTCACCGCGAGGATTTTACTCCATCTAAGTTCAGTAGTAAACAGACCTTAATTTATAATGATGAATTAATAATAGAAGACAATTACTCTCTCATAAAAAGTATAAGTAGAAGAAAAATAGAAAAGCTTTGATTGTGCAGTTAGTTTTGTATTCGTATATTATAGTCAATAAAATCATCCCTGAATTCGAGGAAATTATCTTGAATGTCATAATAAACGGCCATTTTTAATTCTCATTCTCAAATTTCTTTCTGAAAACGGTCATTTGCCTCGTGGCAATGAATGCAGAATTCATTCCAATGATCAAATTGCAACTATCATATTAACATGAACTACAAACACTCTACTTAAAAAGGTGAAACTGCATTTATCATGATATTTATCATGAAGATATTTGACTAAAAAGTTCCAAATTTCACCTTCTTTTTCACCTGTCTTCTGGATGGCATTTAGAACAAATTTCCCTTCTTTTTTCATCATATTGGACAATTTATATATAATTCAACTATAAATATGATTTTCTTGAGATTAATCCATATTTAGTGAAAAGAAGGAAGAATATCATTCAAAATAATGGCGTGTGTAATGTCATTCGAAAGCAATCTATTGACATTTGACATCTCGTATTTTGATTGACTATTGAATAAATGGTCGTCATCTGGAATGCTTGTTCACTAAATATGAAAAACTCGCCATAAAAATCATATTTCCTGTTGAATTTTCTATATAAAAATGTGCCATCGAAGTACATAATGAGTATATAAAGTGTCCAATGACAAAATAAGAGCAAGTAGCTTCAAATGCCCCCAACACAAGGGGAGAAAGAAGGCGAGATTTCGAACTTGTTCTTGAAATATCTCAATAAATAGTGGTTTGTTCACATTTTCATTATAAAATTCGGTTTATCAGACAAAAATACGTCAGTACCGAAAAAAATTTTCAAAAAAAAACATCGCATGATAAATGCAGTTTTACCCTTAAAAATTACGGTTTCGAGTGTAACGATCCACTTGGGTGAAAAATCCAACAACAGAAAATTGAAAACACTCACTGGTTATTTTCTCAGGTAATAGGAATTCTCCAAGATGAATATAGGTAATTGTAACAAACGGCATGTCAATCAAAATAAAATACATTTTCCACAATTTTCTTTCGATCAATCTCACGATAAGTTTATGTTCTGCGGGCCCTGTATAAGTAGGTGTGAAGTTTACCTTCACCACAATTTTTGCCAATATATTTAACTCGAATGGGTTGCTGTAGGTGGATATTTGTGTTTTATCCTGGTTTTTGCTTTAAAACTTCGTTTTTCCATAATAAAATCGAATGGGGTGCGAAGAAGGGCTCAGTTGACGACTGGCATCCTTTTTTAACCGGAAGCCCTTCAAAAAACAGCTAAATCGGCTCAATGATGATCAAAAACTAAAATCGAAATACGCAGTCGCCTTATAGCGCTATAAGCGCTTGTCGTTTCGAGCCGCTGGTTAGGCCTCACTAAGTGACGTCACCATGGAGCATGCAGGCCTTGTTGTATCGGTGGTAACGCCTTAACCCTTTTGTGTTCGGAGATGTGAAAAAATGTTGGAATAAATACACTCACCGGCAAAAAAACCGGTCACCAAAAAAATTGGCAGAATTGTTCACCCTGTAACTATTTCAATCCTTGTTCCGGAATGTTAGTCGGAATATTAGTTTAAGTGAAAAGCTGATGACTTGATTTTTATACAGGGAAAAATCAAAGTCACTATTTCACCCGTTATTTCTTAACGCCCTGTGGCAAAATCGAGTGGTTGCACTTGGTTTCATTATGCTTCGGATTGAAGTGTGATCCTTTCTTAACACAATAGGTTTTGAATCACGTCAATATCCTATTTTCAAGAGAAGATACAAGTGTTTTAAGAAAGTGTAGCATTTTTCAAATGTCATTAATACCCGTTTTAATTATAAACAGAACCTACATAAACTCATTGATTGACTCATTTCCTTAGCACTTACAAAAAAGATCAGAATTACAAAAACCAAGCAAAAAGTAGAATTGTATACCGGGTGACACAGGAGACATGTAGCAGCCTGTAATTTTTTCATTTGAGGAGATACAATTTTGAAATTTACAGGAGGTATATAATAAATGGTAGTGCCCTTTACGAACTCAACGACAATTTTTTTCAACCACCTGTTTGACCGGAAGTGACCCCAACTTTTTTTTTAAATTTCACCCTGTACATTTCTTCAGTCTATCTTATTCGCCTTGAAATTTTCTATACAACCATGTATCACAAAGTGACATTTATTTCTTAATTCGCTGTTGAATTGCTTTTTATTCAAAAATAATAAGTTGGCTGTGACATGAATTCGATGATATATCGACACTTGGTAGGCTTTGAAATTTAAATATCATTAGTAAACCGATATTATTCAAAATGTTTTGATATTCTGAACAATGTCTGCAGGTTGTCAATAGCTTGTTTGAGTCGAGATGAAAACCTTCGGAAATAACTCTGACAGCTGAGTCAATTGAGAATCATTTTCATTTGAGCATGAAAAAAAAAAGATTCTTTTTGAGTGTGAGTCTTATTTTACTGTCTTCTTTATTTTATTTTGTCAAATATATTTATGTATTCACTATGTTCCCTGCTATAAACAAATGTTGTTTCTTGGGAATAATAAAGTTGATTGATTGATTGATTGATTGATATTGAGGAATCTAAGATAGACATATTTTTTCGAATTCAGCTACTCGTACAGAAACTATCTGTCTTTATTTTCGCCATGTACCTACCTATCACATAATCTTCCCTTTTGGAATAATAAAACTAAAATTGTTTTTCTTATACGATGATCCACAGGGCTATCAGTTTATTTTTTCATAAATATTTCACTTAGTAGGCGGTGTACCTACACAAAATGTTTTATGTGTTTGACAGTTAATCGATTGCATCGATAATGCTTTTGCTTCATTTGTGTGTTGATCAAAATTGCATATTAACAACATATCGACTTTTTTGTTTCTTGAATACATTTTCCGTCTCTATCGATAATATGCAATTTTAATCAACACACAAATGAAGAAGAAAAATTATTGATGCAATCGATTAACTGTCAAACACATTAAACATTTTGTGTAGGTACACCGCCTACTAAGTGAAATAATTATGAAAAAATAGACTGATAGCCCTGTGGATCATCGTATAAGAAGAACAATTTTTGTTTCATTATTCCAAAATGTGAAGATCATGTGATAGGTACATGGCGAAAATAAAAGACAGATAGTTTCTGTACGAGAGTAGCTGAATTCGAAAAAATATGTTCCTATCTTAGATTCCTCAATATCATGAGTTATTTTCGAAGGTTTTCATCTTGACTCAAACAAGCTATTGACAGCCTGCAGACATTGATCAGAATATCAAAACATTTTGAATAATATCGGTTTACTAATGATATTCAAATTTCGAAGCCTACCAAGTGTCGATATATCATCGAATTCATGTCACAGCCAACTTATTCTTTTTGAATAAAAAGCAATTCAACAGCGAATTAAGAAATAAATGCCACTTTGTGATACATGGTTGGATAGAGAATTTCAAAGCGAATGAGATAGACTGAAGAAATGTACAGGGTGACATTTAAAAAAAAAGTTGGGGTCACTTCCGCTCAAACAGGTGGTTGAAAAAAATTGTCGTTAAGTTTGTGAAGTGCGCTACCATTTATTATATACCCCCTGTGAATTTCAAAATTTTATCTCTTCAAATAAAAAAACTACAGGCTGCCACATGTCTCCTGTGTCACCCGGTATAGTAATAAAAAGTTCATAATGTCGAACATTTGCATTTTGAAACTATTCAGTATCTTATTCATTGAATTGTTCAAATTGATGTCCATTTTTTCTCACACACTTTTGCAATACGTCTCAAAGGATGTCTTTGTAATTCTTGGAAAATCTTCAAGATTGTTGTGCATATTACTGTATTAAGACGTATTGAGAAAATTTGTCAATTGTGTGTTAGGGAAAATTTTAACAATTCAATGAATGAGTTACTGAATAATTTCGGAATTCAATTGTTCTAGTATATCTTTAATCAGGTGATTATTCGACATTATGGACTTTTTATTACTCTTTATTGGTTGCTATCAGGTACCTAAGTTGTGTGTTTTGTAAGTTAATCAGTGTTGATATTGTTTTTACACCCCACATGGAAAAATGTTGAGACATATTTCTTCAATTGGAACGTTCTTCATATGAAAAATCGATAGCCCACTTTTAAAATTCAATATTTTAGTGATTTTTGAGCATTCTTGAAAATGTTATCTTTTTGCAATGCATAAAAGTAGTTGAACTTACCACAGGTGTGTAGACATTCAAAACCAAACAATCCTCTGTTTCACGTGGATCATTTGTAACTTGATCTAACTGGATACATATTTTTCTGTTTGCTGTAGTATTCAGAATTCCATCCCACCTTTCTACGGGTTGTGGCTCCTGTACATAAAATATACGTTTGTCAGCCCTAGACTCTTGAACCTTTTCGGCATTAATGATCGCATAGATACTCAACACTGTTTTATTATTAACCAAACCCCTCTTTCAACATCAATTATTATGGAATACACCCAATACGAAGAATATACAGGTTTTATCTAAATAACGCCGAAGAAAAAATTCAAGGGGTGCTTCTTTGTGATATTCTAGCAAATAAAGTTCATATAAATATGTGTCCTAACTAGCTCCGTTTTTGAGAGACAGGATGTTGAAGTTGGACGTATTAATTGTTTTTATTTATAACCCCCCTGTATAAGTTTTCATGGTGCCAAAATTCAGTATGGATAGAGACTGAGAAAGCCCCAAAATTTCAAAATTATTCTACTTTTGGGGTTATTGAGTAATCTCAATGGAAGTCTTGAAAACACCTACATTAACATTTGGAGTCAAATCGAATTTTTATTGTTTCCTCAAAAGCAAGCCAGGTACAAAAATCACACATAGGATAAAAGAGGAAGATACATATTAATATTACCGAAACGACAACGTTTTATTGAAATTGATGAAATGACAATTTAGTAATGAATAAAGAAACGATCTTTCATGGAAATATTAATACCCTGTATCTCGAAAACGAAGCAAGTTAGGACACATGTTTATGTAAACTTTATTTCGTTCAATATCAGAAGAAATCACGTCTTAAATTTTGTCGGTATTATTTAGATACACTCTGTATATGGATACACGCTGATTCACGGTGGGTGGCACATTAGACGTTTCTGGAGAACGCAACTCAGGATCATTCTGAAAAGTTGGTGTCAGTGTTGCGACGTTGCCGCTTATATTGAAAAGTAGCAACAACTTTGATTTTTTAAATGGGACACCTCGTGGGACATCCTGTATATTATTCCATTTTCAGATTCTTCCTGAAGAGCTGATTCCATTGATCTATAACACTTGGGGTTTAGCAGTAATAATTACAGAGTTATAGGATGTGAAAAATCGAGATATTTCAACTTTAAGAATTTTTTGAGTCGAAACTATTCATAATTGGTCAAAACAATTTTTATGTCCCTATCCCAACATTTTATTAACTATCAATTGATATTTAATTGGAATAAATACAGGGAGGTTCAGTTCTCAGCAGTCAGCACATTGTTGCCATCAAGTATCCAACATTCACATGATATTTTGTTATGGAGAATGAGAAATATTTTTGGACATGCTGGCTGCTCAAAAATGTCAAGAATGAACTATAACGTCATGAGTTCCCCCTATTATGTTTTATTCAACGCCATGACTCAAACATCTTTCTGATAACTTGAATATAATTATTGGTGACTTGACAACCTTGCTTCATGAGTGGAAATGGAAGATTAGCTGACCAATAACGAAACAGCATAAAAATTGACGTTATCATTTGTAAAAGGTTCACTCAATGAAATTGTCTTTAGGTCCAAAATCACTAGGTATATTTCCCAACACCAGAAATATAATACAAGTAACCGTATCAAACAACTCTCTTTTACTGACTGACTAACATATCTTCACTCCACTACTCATCTTCCGTTTGCGTAAGTGGATGAATCAGACCTATGTGCCAAATATACGAAGTACAGGGCGATTCCAATCCATATTAGTTCACAGTCGGCCAAACCTGACCTTGTTCGCGCCCTCGTGAACTCCTCCCTTTGGTGTACCTACAAATAAAATGAAACAATTTATAACAAATGGATTGTACATTTTCAAAGATACTCCAGCAACTAATCGCTGGGTACGTCTTCAGACGATTCATCTGAACTCACAGTCGTACTGAACGGTTTCAGCTTATCAGAAGGACATATTCCTTGGTAAGCGGTTCGCGAACGTTTCGCACCCGGCATATCTTCGATAACATATCGATCATTGTCAAGTACTTGTGTGATCACAAAGGGCCCCCTGAATCGTGGCTCGAGTTTCTTACTCTTACCGTCGTTAGAGCACTTTGCTCGTCTCATGACTACATGTTGTCCAACTTCATATTTGTGAGGAGTAGCATGCTTAGCGTCATACAGACGTTTCTGAACGACTTGCTTCTCCCTTATGCGTCTTGCTACGTCCGTGCGTAGACTGGTTAAGTTTTCGACCTGTCCTTCTGCAATTTCTGCAGTCAGAAAAGCATCGTTCACTCCACGCGGACGATAACCCAAGAATACTTCATAAGGTGTCTTACCTGTCACCGACCTTATGGTAGAATTAATACCCCATCTTACGCGACTGACGGCGTCGTCCCATTGCGACTCGTTATCTACGCTGGACATCAAGGCGGTGAGAATAACTCTGTTCATTCTCTCCACTTGCCCATTTGCCCTTGGTGTGGCCGTGGCACACAAAACCCTTTTGATACCCAACTGTTCGCAATATTCAGTGAACGATTTACTAGTGAATGCCGATCCCCTATCACAAATAAACCGTCGAGGAACGCCAAAAGTATCGATGGTTTCATTCAAGAACTTAATAACTGGGACAGTAGCAGCCGTTGGAACCGCTTTCATGAATATAAACTTCGTGAATGCATCTACGGCGACAATGAGGTAACTGTTCTTTCTGTTGCTTTTAACGAACGGCCCCAAATGATCAAGATGCAATGTATCCATGGGAATGTCCTTCTTGTCAATGATATTCAAAGCTCCAGGAGTTTTACCCGATGGTTTTTTATTATAAAGACAACCTAAACAAGACGTAATGTAGTTTTTGATGTATCCTCTCATCGAAGGAAACCAGTACTGTTTTGCAAGTGATTCTAAGGTCTTATCAACTGAGAAGTGACCGGCTCCATCGTGATAGAACATCAAAAGTCTTCGTCGAGCTGACTTAGGTACTATACCCACCGATGACCTCTTGAGGTTATTCGGTATAGACGATTATCTTTAAGAACGTATTCTTCATGAACTTTCACTTCGTCGCGGTCAGCAGGTATACGCGATAGAATTTCGTGCAGTTCACGACAACGTTTATCTGTTAGTTGTGCCGCTAACACCCAATCCTCTTCATCAATATCGACGTGTAAGAGATTGACTTCATTGTAGCCCACGTCACTCTCAACTGGATTTCTGCTCAAAGCGTCTACGTGAGCCATCTTCGTACCCGGACGATACTCTATTGTGAAATCGAATTCTTGCGTCATCAACCACCAGCGGCCGATGCGAGGTATCAGGTCTCGCTTCGTCAACGTAGAACGTACAGCATTGCAATCAGTAACAATATTAAATTTGATACCAATCAGATAAACCCTGAACTTCTTCAGTGAATTCACAACGGCTAAAGTCTCTAGTTCGAAAGAATGATACTTCTGTTCTTCTTTAGACGTGGCTCGACTAAAGTATTGTACCGGTTTCAAGTCACCGCCGAGTTGTTTCTGGAATAAGATTCCGCCAATTCCCCATTTACTCGCGTCCGTATGAACCTCCGTATCTGCCGTTCTGTCGTAAATGGCCAAAACTGGTCGGGATGTCAATTTTTCTTTTAGCTGATTGAATGCTTGTTGTTGACAATCGCTCCACTCGAATACGATATTCTTTTTTGTTAAGTCAGTCAGCGGCTTGGCGATTGTTCCAAAGTTATAGACAAATTTTCTGAAGTAACTCGTTAACCCTAGAAACTGTCGTACCTCACGCACCGTTGTAGGCCGTGGAAATTTCGTGACTGCCATAATTTTGTCGCTTCCTGGACGTATTCCTTGTCCACTGATCTCATGGCCTAGCGAGTGGCCTAGATAATTAATTTCTGTCTGTAGGAAATAACATTTGCTCAAACGAAGAGTCATTCCGGAGTCTCGAAATAATTGTAAAATCTGTTCTAGTCGTTGCAAAAAATCCTCTATATCAGCTGATGGTATGAGAATATCATCTAGATACGCCAAGGCTGTGGTAAATCGTAAAGAGCCTAGAATATCATTCATAGCTCTCGAAAAGATAGCTGGGGCATTCACCAAGCCAAATGGCATTCGCAAGTATTCGTAATGCCCATCTGGTGTAACGAAAGCTGTCTTCGGCACGGAGTCTTCGGCCACGGCAATTTGATGATAACCTGAAGCTAGATCCAAGCTCGTGGAATAGTGACAACCCTTTAATCGATCTAACAAATCATCGATTCGAGGCAAAGGGTACTTATCCTTCACTGTTTTACTATTCAATGCACGATAGTCCACACACATACGTTCCTCGCCGTTTTTCTTTTTCACCAAAAGAATTGGGCTTGCGTACGGTGATCGCGATTCCCTGATGATATCATTAGCTAGCAGTTCGTCAACTATTGTTCTAACTTTGGCACGTTCCGAATATGGTAAGCGATACGGCCTATACGTTACAGGTTTATCGTCAAGTAAAGTAATCGACATTGCTGTCGTATTATTCTTACCAAGCTCGCCAAGATTGAAAGCGAAAGTGTCCCGATATTGATTCAGTTTCAACTGATTTATCTCTTCTAACTCGGCACCCATGTGGTCACGGATATCATTCAAACATAACTTATCTTTATGTTCATTTGTCATAGTTAGACATTGATGTACTTGAACACCGGTTTCAGATGAACACGCAATACCTCTTGCCACCACACTACCTTTCTTATAACATACGGGATTATCAGAATTATTCATTATGGGCAGTAACCCACCATCAGTTCTGATATTGACAATACTCCTAGGAACAATGTGAAATCGATTCGGCCATGATCGATGTTGCAAATCAATGAAAATATCGCAATAATTTTCGTCACTGCACACCGATATATGACCAATGTGATGGGGTGGTATGACCGTAGCATTTTCCGCCCAAAGTGTCACCTTTCGTGGTGGCAGAGATTTAACTTCGTTCAAGAGCTTAAAATTTGTGTTGAACAGTCTCACTTGTCCACCCTGTATTATCATAGTTATATTATTATGGTTGATAAAAGGTTGCCCAATAATTATGGGAACTTGTTGAACCCCATCGGGTACAACTAATGCGTCTACATAAGCGGTGGCTAGATCTACCGTCAGATCAATATTGACTCGCGACTCAACTGAAATCGAACCTCCGGCATACCCCCGTAAAACTGCTCTAGCGGGTTTTCTTGAAAGCCCTAACTGTTTCACTTCTGTTTCCCGTATAGTGACAGCACTACTGCCCGAATCAACGTAACCTCGTAAAATTTCATTATTAATTGAACAGTCAATGAAATAGCAAGTATTGGGACAGGATTCGTTACTGTTAAGATTCAGAACATGATTTGACTCACCATCTGGAATTTTCTTCGAACGAGTGCAGTTCTCACCAGCGTGACCCATGTAATTACAACGATTGCACTGCAAACGAGGCTGCGAACAGTTAGCTGCTACGTGGCCTCGTTGATTACAGTTGAAACATTTGACACGATTGTTTGAAGCTTCAAACCTGTTCTTCCCTCGCAGTGAACTTCTCAAATCCAAATGGGTTTTGTTTACGCGTCGTTCGTCCTTATGAATCGGCTTGTCCGTTACTGATGAGTCACTTTGTAATGCAGATAGATATTGTTCGTACAGGATTTCGGGTGTTTCGTAACGACCAGCTCTTGCACCGTTTTGCAAAGCTTTCTCGACCAAACCATCAATAATACAGGACACGGCATGTTTTCCAGATATTTGGCATGTTCTTAGCAATTCCATTTTCTCAAAATAGTATGTAGTCATCGTTTCTACAGGCAACTTTACCCTTTTCAGCATTTTCCACAGAACAGTAGCATAATCTACATGATCTGGGAAAGATTTCTTCAGCAGCGACTTCCATTCCGTCCAAGTCAGGTTGTAATTAGATAAACCATGGTACCAGCTCTTAGCCATGCCAGATAATCTTGATTGCATATGGTAAATGGTAGTAACATCGTCCCAATCGTTAATATTTTTCAACTGCTCTATCTTTTCTATCCATTTGATAGCCGTCAGGTTAGGATTATCAGGAGAAAATTCTGGTATACAGTCGCTGTATATAGTGAAACGAGTTGTATCTTTACGAGCTTGTTTGCGGTTGTCGGCATTTGTAAAACTTTCTATCATGCGTTCTAAACGTTTAATTCTCTTACTTGCATCAATGAGGGAGAGTTCAGAACGAGAAGGAGGCGAAAGCGATGGTCTAGGAGATGCTGAGGGCGATTGTGGTCGTAATGGTGAACGAGAGGCAGAACGTTTCCTACCTCTTCCATTTTCTGTTGAACATGAGGGTCGTTCCCTATCCTGTTCACAATTTTGATGTCCATACTCCTCTCTTTCAGCCCTATTCCTGCTCTGACCCCTCACACGATATCTTTCAGCTTCACTCTCGGAGTCAACAGGCGATCTCGACCTTTGTCTGGAATGTTTGGAACTACGAAGCTTATCCATTCTTCCAAAACTAGAGGTATTAATTCACTTGTGTCACCGTTCACTTCGCTACTACGAATAAAAAACACTTGCAGGGCACGTAGAATACACCTCACACCTGAACTGTAAAAGGTTCACTCAATGAAATTGTCTTTAGGTCCAAAATCACTAGGTATATTTCCCAACACCAGAAATATAATACAAGTAACCGTATCAAACAACTCTCTTTTACTGACTGACTAACATATCGTCACTCCACTACTCATCTTCCGTTTGCGTAAGTGGATGAATCAGACCTATGTGCCAAATATACGAAGTACAGGGCGATTCCAATCCATATTAGTTCACACATTTATTCGACGTTTCGCAAAATGGCGGTCATGACGTTAGGTTCGAAATGAGCTCTGAAATTCAACGATTTTGAACAACGCATAGACTTATTATTTACGTAAAAAAAGCGTGAGAAGAGTTGCAAAAACTAATTTAGGTTCCTAACGACACAGTGGAGTGATTGAATTCTAATGATTCATCATCAGTCCACTCGCCCATTGTCTGGAAATTGTGCTGTTGATTTTGACTCTGATGTTGCGACGGGCTAAATACGAGTCGATCAACTTAGGATTACCACCGTGTACGTTTATATTTACCTGGAATCTCAGTGCACCAACAGGTGCCTTTGCGTAAGGTATATCTTGAAAAGCATAATAAGGAACTTTCTGGTCGGATTCCAACTGTCTTCCGATTATATGGCCATCAGATATTTCTACTTCTACGAGGCCGCTAGTCTGTAATAGAAATCGTAGCTTATACAGTGTATTTCATAAAATTGGCGTTATATGAGAAAAACTTTCAATGATAAATTATTTTGAAATTCGACTTGGGCATTGAGTTTTGCTTATCAGAAAGAGATGAAAAATGGCCTACTCAGTCGGGCTCACGTGACTCTTGCTACATGTCAAAAAATATTTTTTTTTGAAATTGATCGCTCAAAATAGGCTCATTTGTATGAAAGAGTTTACTGGGGAATGTTTTCTCAATTTTAATTTCAAACGTGTCAGTTCCTGATATTTTTTCATTTCTTCCAATTTTATTTTCGACAAAACTGTTCTATATTTTGGTTAGATCCGTGCTTAATATGTCACAAATACAGTTATATAGATACTTATAAGATTTGAGTACATGAAAAACAGGATCGAATAGTAAGAATGGGCAACAAAAATGCCAAACAAATGAAAAAATTAAACGTAAGGAACAAACTGTTATAACATTGAATTTAATCTGAATCAGATAAAGTATTGTCCTTTTCTGGTTTATAATAATATTAATAATAATAATAATAAATGTTTTTATTGGACAGACATTGGATCAGCTCATATATACAAGTTGAACACTTGATAAATGCCTGCCAAATGGCAGAGTTCAAATTATCTGTGAAGACAGGAATTTGTTCTTCATTCATTCATATGCATTCAAGTCAATATGAATGAGTTCAAATATATATTTATAAATAACTATAACTACTAGAATCTAATAATAATAATTGAATGATACATCCATAATAATCTGAAACATCATTATGTTTATAACAGAAGGAAGAAAGATGAACAAGGAGAAAAAAGAGACAGAATATATAAACATATTTATGAACTATAGTCCTATATTAAAGATATTGTGATAGATCAGTTGTGAACAGATATTGACAGAGAACTATATATCAAGGAAAAGAAATTCTCCCTGATATCAAACAATTTTTCAGCCTCTGTTCAAGGACAAAAACAGATACACTTTTCAACTCCTCTGGAAGCCAGTTGTATAGCCTATTCAAATGAAAACTGAAAGATCCTTCATAGAAAGTTGACTTATGCTGTGGAGGAGTGATGCGCGATTTTGTCTAATATTGAGGTTGTGAACATCCGTTCTGAATCTGATTTTATTGTATAAATATGGTGGACTTCTCGAAATTATGATTTTGTGAAAAAGAATGCAAGCATGCACTAAGCGTCTTTCTTCCATATTCAACCAACCCAGACTTCCTTAAATGTGGAGATGTAGGTAGGTGTTCCCTTCTTCAGGCCACATATGACATGAGCCGAACACAGCAATTTTGTACTCGTTGAATTAATTCTAAGACAGTCTGATTTCAAAAGTTTGGGCCCATAGATTACATCTCCATAATTGAGATGGGACAGAACTAGAGACTCACACATCTTGAGATTTTTATTCAAAAGTGCTTTATTACTATTTATGAGTTTGAGATTACCAAAAGCTCTGGGAAGTATCATGGTATGAGTATCTCATTTTATCGTCTAATAATATGTTTTTGGCATTTTCTTTTCGAGTCAAGTTTACACCACCAGCAATAATATTTATGAGATCAACACACCGCTTGCGAGCTGGTGTACTACAACTGAAATTATTGGAAATCATCTCTAAGGATTTATTGTCATCATTGATTCGTTCACATGCTGTTGCGACATCGCTTTCTTTGAAACTATAATATAAGTGTGTATCATCTGCATAGTAGTGCGATTGACAGTATTTCAAGTATGTGGTGAATTCGAAGGTGTAGATTATGAACATAAGAGGACCACCCAATATGGAACCTTGAGGGACGCCTCTTTTCAAGTAAAGATATTGGGATGATGACTGCTCATGTATCACAGCCTGTAGCCGCTTAGCAAGGTAATGTCTCATTGAATTCACATAACCATTTCCGAAATCGATGTAATGCAGAATTGATAAGAGTAGTTATACACAATCATTATTATAGTACCTATACATATATGTACATTTATTACTCATTTTCAGAAATTATTCCAAACAGACCGTGCCAGAATTTTGAATTGACTCGGCCGTTACTTGGAGGAAATCCATGACAAATGTAAAAACTTCACAAACGATAAGATTTCCACAAAACATGTTTCGCTAACAATAAACCCCCATCTTCGGAAATTAGGCACAATATCTACATTAAATTACGGTATACCGGATTAACTTGAAAGAGTTGATAGCAAATACATATTATCACTTACTAAGAAACCAAATTCAACAGTGGTGAACTATTGAGGTCTAATTGATCATTAAGTAAAATGTCTAGGCTATTGAATGTTCCTCTTCCGGAAGTAAATTTCAATAAAGAACTCAATATCATAAAACAGATTGCAGTCAACAACGGATACAACGTTAATTTGATAGAAAGTATTCTTTCTAAAAAACCTCATCATAAAGCTATTCAAGAAGTTCACCCTACCATCAAGAATAATAATCAAAATTATAGAACTTCAACCTATTTCGGATCATCAACTGAGAAATAAGCTTCATTTCTACATAAACAGGACTTAAAAGTGGCATATAGAACAAATAACACGTTGGGACGGTATATCAAGAATAATAAAGACAAAACTTTTAAATTCGAAAAATCAGGGGTACCTATACAAACTCAACTGTGGATCTTGTCCTAAGGTATATATCGGTCAGACAGGTCGTACGTTTAATCAGCGCATTCATGAACATAGGATGAATTTTACGAAGAAGAAAACAAATTTAAAATACGCCAACCATATTATATTAGAAGAAAACCATAGTGTTGATGATAATTTCGAAATTCTACACGTAGAAAATAAAGGACTGATACTCAATCATTTTGAATCATTAGAAATCAACAAACTAAAGAAAAAAAATGACATTTTAGTTAATGATCAACTAGACCTCAATAGTTCACCACTGTTGAATTTGTTTTCTTAGTAAGTATAATAATATGTATCAGCTCTTTCAAGTTGATCCGGTATACCGTATTTTGATGTAGATATTGTGCCTAATTTCCGATAATAGAGGTTTATCGTACCTGTCCACAGGTAACTCATCCTTCAGGTTGGGAAAGTGAGATATATAAAAGTTAAGCAAGCCAACGTTAGTTCAGTTCATTGTACCAGTATATCACCTGACGAAGCTACTGTGTTAGCGAAACATGTCGTGTGTCGAGAATTTTGTGAAAATCTTATTGTTTGTGAAGTTTTTCCATGTGCCAGAATATCATGCGAACACTAAACTAAATATTATTACAACTACGAAATAGCGACATCGGGTCGATTCTGTTTGCAAATAGCAATATGGTTGTAGAGAAGATATTGCTATCATAGCAAGATTCGAAAAAGTGGAATTCTAATCATCGATTTTTGGCAATATGATCTGTCAATTTCAATGACATCTGGTCAGCATTCTTGCTATCTCGGCAACATCAATTTTGTGCTTGCTATCTTATAACAAGGTAGTGGATTCTTTGTTTTTGCACAACAAGTTCTTCCAAGTGTAAGAAAATTCAGAAAATAGTGGATTTAAGACATATCAGAGTTCACTTGTGTCACTGACTCCTCGAAAACCTTTCCTCAAAGTTTCAATTTGTAGAAGAATTATTGAAAAACTTAGAATGGTGATTACAAACATATAGGATAGGTTCACTACTGTGACCAACTACTTGAAAACCTTTTCTTGAAGTTCCAATTTGTATAGGGAATATGAGACTTCAATTTCGGCATATCAGAGAAACCAGAAAACCATTTCAGTTGCCTGATGGATAGTTTATCAAGCTAGTTTGCAAGAAAATTAAAAAAAAATCACGATCATTTTCATCCGGCTTTTAGTTGTTTTCTCATTTCGGGGACATGATTGATTACTTGCACCAGTCACACAACGATGACCAGATTCAGCAAATACAAAATCTCTCAATTTGAACAATATATTTTTGTAAAATGTCAGTGCAGGACTGACTATAATTTGAGAGGTTAGATGATCTTGAACTCTTCTTCTTCATGGAATAATGGCAAAATCTATACCTAACACTTAAAAAATGAGTTGAAAACAGTGTTGTCAGCTCAAAAATTCTCAATTTTTCAACAATATTGCTATCACTTGAACTTATAACCAATCTTGCAGTTACTCTGCAAACAGAATACAGAACTTCATAGCAATATTGTTATATGTTATGATCATAACAATATTATTATCTTAGCAATGTTATAACAAAGATCCGAACAGAATCGACCCGATGCCTCAAAGTGGAATGAAATGTTGAATAAATACAAAAACCTCAAAGTCATTTCCATTGTGATCCCTAACTCCGGCGTCGGTTATTAGCCTCAGTAGCAGAAAAGGACCGAAGTTAAAGAAACAAGGAAGAAGAAGAAGAAAGAAAGAGTTCAAGAATGTATATGTCATAGACGAAATTGCCAAACAAAATTATCATACGGGTTCATTCGTTCGTTCGTAGAAAAAATATATTCCCAAATTTCGACCCCAAACTTATTTTATCTTTAATAATCACAGAAGTTGAAAATATCAGTGCTGCCGATTGGCAAAAAAGAGTGAATGAACTTTTTAAATTCGAAGAATACCTATTATATATAGAAATCTGGGTGCAACCCATATCTGAACGGTCATCAGAATCGATTTATTATCAATTTGCCAGATTAAGAGGGCTCTATAATTTTAGCGATGAATAAGATGAAGTGAATAATAGAATATTTTTCATTTTGAATTAAATTTGTACGAGTTTGAATTGGCAGCGTAATTTTCGAGATTTTCCCTCCTGAATTTTACAATGTGTCTTCAGGAAAATAGATCACAAATAATTGGCATCCCTATCCCACAGTTCTTGTATAATGAGATAATATTCCTGTCTTATAAAAAGATGATTCTATACACATTTTGTGTAGTTTTTCTTTGACTTCATAAATCACTTAGTAGCTAACAAGGAGGCAGGGAAACAAACCATATCTATACCTTTTTA